CAGTTGCCGAGGACGGGGGCATTCCCACTGCGTGTGCGGCAGGGCCTTCCCGTGGATTGTCGCGGCTCAGCGGCTGGTGTTGATTGCAGCAGAGGAGTGGCTGAAGGGCTACGGCTGTCATTCGAGCCTGCAGAGGTGCGTTGTCCGTTTTTGCTCGTTGATACGCTTGACATTTTCGGTAGTGACCTGCGCGCGAGGCACCTGTGGGAAGACCGTGGAGCCGTCGCAGAATCCACATGTGAGGCCTTCTGCGACGAGTGGAGTGCCAGGGTTAGTGCGTCGGGCGTGTGCCTTCATACTGTGGACGGAAGAGAAGACGCTGCTGCAGCTTGGGCGGGGCGACGTTGATCTGCTGCTCGTCGTTTTACGAGGAGGTGCCGTGGACACGCCAGGTGGAGGTTCCGGAGGAGGTCGGGGCGGTCCTGCCTCTTCAGTGAGGGAGGAGCAGCACCACCGACATAATGGGTTGCCTGTGATCCGCAGGGCGTGTGCCGGTCTGCCGAGGAGTGGGCAGGAGTTGCATCGCACCTGCGCACAAAGTCGCGATTCGATGCCCGATGTCTGCCTGCACACCAGGAAGACAGCCCTCGCCACACCAACGAGCGCCTGGCGGGCGGTGTGTGCGAATTCTTCTTCCTCCTGGAATTCCTTCCAGTACAACCTCTTGACGGCGGCAAGGAATTCCACGTGCCAGATCGGGACGCCTCATTGCTGCAGGGATCGTGCAATCGTGGCTTCTTCGTCAGCGGCCTCAGTGCGTGGGGCGCTGCAGTGCGATGGGGGAAATATGAGGTGTGCGGGGTGAACTCGCTTCACCAAGGAAAACAGCATAGCCCAAATCTCTTCAGCAACGCAGTCACGCACGGCCAGTGGGGCAGCGCGGAGTGCCTCAGTTGCCGACAGGGAGTCGGTTGACACCGGGGTTTGTGTGGACGATTGGGATGTTTCCGGACGAGGAGGTATGAGATGTCTAAAGCCAATTTTCAGTGACAAGGCTCTCTGCTCCCTATGAGCGTGCGAGTATGCCGGCTGCTGCACGATGGACCTCCACAGGGAGACCATTTGTCTTTGTGGGGCTGTATAATGGTGCAGCGGATCCAGATGCGAGTGCAGCGGATCCAGATGCGAGTGCAGCGAGTGATGAAAAACCGTCTGTCCATAATTCAAAATTATAATCTCCTAGAGGGGAGTAAAGGGAATTAAAAGCCGTGCGCTTGACATCGTCAGAGGCGTCGTTGGCAAAGGGTGGCCGATAAAATTTCACGTTATTGCAGCCCGCAGCGTCTCAGGGAATAATTCTATGTTGGGTAATAGGAGGAGCGTGATTGTGGTTGTGTGGTATCCCAATAGTGCCACATACACATTCTAATCCATTAATAACGGCATCTCTCGGAAGTGGGATTGATGTCGCCGCTTTCCCATGCATGGACAGCGGCACAGGTTCCGAGTAGATAAGGGAACTCAAATCCCCGTGATTATGGAAACGTATATAGCGTTCGTGTTGATTGGTGTCACTGAGCCAGAGTATCCTCCGGAGCGGGAGAGGATTGGCTTCCAATTAGAAAGATGTATCTTCCGTTGGTGCACTAATGCCAAGGTGCGTTTTACAACTGTTGCGGTACAGTAATTCCGTATTATGGAGGTAGGTGGGGGCAAGGCATGGGACAATTGCCTCGCCAGAATACAGTGACACACCATGACCGTATCCAATCGAAAAGGATTGCGTATTGTGATGGAACGCACCAGCCCGTGCAACCGGTCGCAATTGGTAGCGGCGTGGCGTTGTCTGCTTTGCAGCGGTGGAAGCGTGCGGACCAGAATTAAGAAGTCGATCGAACGTGGTGTCCAGCAAGCGCACTGGGCGTGACTGAATACGCAGGTTCCTATTGCCAGGATGGAGATCGACCATTTCCTTGTCAGACCGTGTGTGTGAAGAGGTGTGGAATAGAGCAGCTTCGCTCTTATCATCGTTGATTTTTAGGTTGTGCTCGGCAGCCCATGTCGTTATACGTGACAGGGCGGGTTGCATTGCCGCAGCACATGCATGGATGCCCGCACCTGAGGCAACAAGTATGTGTTCGTCAGCGCACATGAGTGCGGAGGCGGAATAGATGTTGTCCATGCGCCGCGGCAGATCATCCACACAGTAGAGGAAGATTTGGGTCCCGGGACGCTGCCTTGTGGTGCTCCAGTTGAGGCGAGTTGTTTCCGGGAGTGCATACCCTAACATAGCGGCCCCGCAGGTAGTTGTGCAGCCAGAGTTTCGTTCGGTGGCCGAGGCGCGGAAGTCTGTCAAGCATGCCGAATAACTTCCCATTGTCAACGGTGTCGACCGCAGTCGAAAAATCAATCAGGCCACGAGCGAGCGATGGTGACGAGGGTGTTGTGTGTGGGCGCCGTCTCCAGAGCGCTCATACTCCACAGTGCTGGACTCATTCAATCCACGGTAATTTTACCGTTAACAATTGTTATCACGTCCGATGTTGAACGCGAAGGTGTGAACCCGAATTGACGTGGGTGGTGCGGCAATAACGCTGATAGACGGCGGTGAATCATTCTTTCGGTTTAGTAACACAGAGAGCAGCGTGATAGGTCTGTAACTCTCTGGGCGGCATGGGCCCTTCCTAGGTTGGGGAATGGGAATAGTGTCCACCGTATTCCAGGAGCCAGGCAGGCTGCCATTTGCGAAGGAGTTGTGGATCATCGTTCTGAGTGTGCCATGCGCAACGGGCCCGAGATGGTGCATGAACTCATTCGACATGTTGTCGTGGTCAGGGGCTGAGCCGAGCGAAGAGTTACGGATGGCCACGTCAGGTACATACGGCGTGAGAGGCCGATCCATTTCCCAGTCACCAGGAAACAAAGGAGTGCAGCGAGCAGCAGCAGCAGCAGTATAATGTAATGTGGCACGTGAAACCGCACAAAATGGGGGAGGAGCAGATTTGCCTGTTGCCGAGGCAGAGCGCAGTCCGAAGTTCAGTGCGGAGCACCACCGATTCCAGGGGATGAGGGTGCGGCGCCGCCACGCCGCGGAGATATCGCCAGCTCGGGCTGGATGAGGCCCCAATTTTTTCCGCGCGGGCTTCCAGAAGCATAGCGAAGCTACGGCGTAATGTTTGATTTTAGTCCTCCACTTTTTGGATGAATTCGGCTCGAAGCAGGCTGTCTCTGGCGAGGCGACGTGTGTGCTTTGTGTGCTGCTTCGGCGGCGGACTCGGCTTGTTCCATTTCGTTCGTCCAGATTGTTTTGGGCTGTCGCGGCTGCTGTGCGGGATATGGCGCTCAGCTGCTCGTAAGATACCACTGCGAATTTCCAGACATGTGGACGCGGCGGCAAGGAGTGTTTCACACAACGAAATGAAATCAGGCCAATCCGCTTTGCGCAGGGCAAAAGTGGCTTTCTCCCGCCGAGGCAGCGTGTTGGCTAGTCGCGGAACGCCCTCATCCATCCCCACCGAGTAAGATATTCAGCAGTGGTCATAATCGATGTAGGGAGTGGATTGCCAGTGGGTGACACGCAGTACACGATACGCAGCCACGTCAGGGAATGAGACATTACGATTTGTGATCCGCGTTGCCTGCGCCGGGTCATTTGCCAGCTCGAAATCCATGTCAATTAGAGTAGAGGACAAATCCTCTCCTCCGGTCGTTGAAGGCGTATGACTGTCCCGGAGTTCATGATGTAAATTCAGTTCACCCGCGATAATCGCTGCGGGCTTAAGCGACGAATGGTACTAATAAACGAAGAGCCTTGAACGGTTGCTGTGGGAGGGTTGTAGAGATTCACCACGCAGATGCTGGGAAATCCCTGTGGAGTTGCACGGACAGCAACGGTCTCCAGGCAGTTTGTGCCAGGGAGCGTCAGGCGCTCGCACGGCAGAGAGTGGCGCACCAGAGTGACACCGCCACCACCGCGCCCAGTGCGGCCTGAAGAAAGCTATTATGGCCGGTTAGTTTTGCCGCTGTGGCAATTCGAGTATTTGTTTCCTGGAGAAGAACGATGTCAGGTGGACGCTGCTCCAGTCGCGCAGTAGATGAAATCTTTTTTACGGACGAGAGGCCTGCAATGTTGAGCTTCCAATTAGTGATTTAGCCATCCTCCTCGGGCCAGAGTTCTTGTGAACGTCACCGCCACGGGTGATATCAACGGAGTGACCGCAGCGAAACGGCCGTGCAGTTTTGCCCGACAGTGTGCAAGCAGACCGCTTCACCTCCCCGCACCGGGCATGGCGTGGAACCTTCTCGAGGGGTGGAGTCGTCTTGGTCTCCGTCGTGCTCGCAGCAACGCCCTGCTGCGGAGTTCCTACATGCAACCAGAGCCCAGCACCGCGAAAAGGTGCGACTTCATCGCTGTGGCTTACCGAATGTTGTAAAGGACCTCATTTTAATTATTTTTTTCTTTCTTTTGCTGCTTGTGTTTTATTGGAATAATAATTATCTTTGTGTTTTCCCAATGGCTGTTTGACTGCTCTACACATCATTATGAGTGACGTTTTTTCCATCTTGTTTTCTTTCCTGTCCAGTCGCTGTGTCGGCCTCACTGCTGTGCGTGCCACGGACTGCACGTACGAGGACTGAAGGAACACGCCGGATGCCGGATGAATTATAAAGGATTTTGTGTGGGCTGGTGGAGCAGCAAGATCTTTTCTTTTTTTATCAGATTATTTTCTGCCATTTTTGCGGGGAAGATGTATACACAAACACACGATCGTCTATATTGTGTTGCATGGCACATGAAATAAAATTGCGACCTAATCTATTTTATTCATCCTTTCCGGTGTTACTGCCGGACTATTAACCCAGTTTTTATTTATTCTTACTTTAATTTCTGATTTACGGCGCGCTGTGCATTTTTTGACGTTTATTGGTTTACTGTTTCTCATGAAATGCGTGCTGCTGCTGCTGGGATGGCTGTGTGAATTGTTTCTTTTGTTTTTGCTTCACTCTGCGTTGACGGGGAGTTAGTTTGTGCTGAAGGCTGCACGCAAGTGACAGGAGTGATGGCGATGATGATGGCTGGCCGTGTGCTGCTGGTGTGTGCCCTCTGCGTGCTGTGGTCCGTTCCGGCCGATGGAGATATTGTTGTTGTTTCTGGTGGGGAGGACAACATTCTGAAAGAATTATTTATTCCAGTTGCGAGATTGCAGTTAAGACGAGAACAAGGAGCAGCAGAAGCAACAGCTGACGCAAAGGCAGCAGCAGAAACAGCAGCAAAAGAAGCAGAGGCAGCAGCAGAAGCAGCAAAGGCAGCAGCAGAGACAGCAGCAGAGGCAGCGGCAGAAGCAGCAAAGGCAGCAGCAGAAGCAACTGAATCAGCAGCAACAAACGCAACGACAGCATCAGAAGCAGCAACAAAAGCAAAAGCAGCAGCAACAAAAGCAAAGGCAGCAGCAGAGGCAACAGAAACGGCAGCAGAAGCGGCAGAAGCAGCAAAGGCAGCAGCAACGGCAGCAGCAACGGCAACAGAAGCGGCAGAAGCAGCAAAGGCAGCAGCAGATGCAGCAGCAGAGGCAGCAAAGGCAGCGGCAGAGGCAGCAGCAGAAGCAGCAGAAGCAGGAGAAGCAGCAGTACATGCAGATGCAGCAATAATATTAGCAACATCAGCAGCAGAAGCAGCAAAAGAAGCAGCAGAAAAGGCAGCAAAAGCAAAAGCAGCAGCAGAAACAGCCGAAGCAAAAGCAGCAGCAGCAGCAGCAGAAAAAGCAGCAGCAACGGAAGCGGACGCAAAAGCAGCAGCTGCAAAGACACCAGAGGCAGCAGCAGAAGCACTGCGAGGTACAGGAGTCGGAGAAGACGAGGTAAAAAAAGCAACACATGATCAGGATAATTCAGTCGAACACCATTCTGGAGAAAAACAAGAGCTTATAAAAGAAGAGGAACGACAAGAAAAAGAACAGCATGAAAAGCAGCAACACCAACAGCGTGAAAATTCCGCAGGAAATGGTGAAGAATCCGCGAAAGACAACACTGCTAATGGTACAAATGCAACCGCAATTAAGGACTACAGTGACAGCAGCACCGCGGTCTCCCACACCACCTCCCCTCTTTTGCTTCTTCTTGTTGCGTGTGCGGCTGCTGCTGCGGTGGCGGTGGCCGCGTTAGAGTGAGGGAGAGAGAGCCGTGCACCGCCCGCACACACACTCGTCCTTCTCTCTCTCTGTGTGTGTGCCCCTTGCATGGACTCTCGCCCTCCCCTCACCCCACGAGGCACACACATAATGTGCCCATTGTATATATGCATGCACACCCATGCAGGCCCGTTGGTGCTCTCTTTTGCACGACACGCACCGCTGCCGTCCTGCCTGGCTGCATGGGCGGAGCACCGTAACTGTTTCTGTTTTTATTGCATTGAGTGGGCGACCTCTCTCTCTCTCCCTGTGTGTGTGTTTTGCTTTACGGGAGTAATGAGAGTGTGTGCGCTGGTCGTCCCACGCTTCGGCTTTTTTTCTTTACTCGTAAATTTAATTTTTTTTCGGCTTGTTTCAAAATTCTTTTTTCATTTTTTGTTTGTTTGTTTTTCCAACGTCCCCCATCCCTTCTCTTCTTTGCTTTCGGGGGCAATCACTATGGACGTTTTTTTTCTTTTCTACTCTTCCCTCTTTAATTGTTTGTTGCTGCACTCCTCCTGTGAGGGGTGCCGTGTGTTTCCGCCCAACTGCTCCACTCGCACACCCACCGACACGCTCACGACGACGGCCCTGTGCGCCTCGCCTGCTGCACGCATGAGGAGGGGCCGCGACGAACGGCGCGCTGAGGGAGCCGTGACGTGTGGGCGTGCGACGAGGGCCTGTGGGGCGGAGCGCACATTTCTTCCCTCTTGTTTTGTTTTCTTTTATTGCGGTCAGGGCGGGCAGACACCCGCAGCGCCACACACACACACAGCCACACCCTGCCGCCGTGTTTTTAAGATTTCTTTTTTCTTTTGCTGCGCTCACTCTCCCGATGGAGTGACGCGACCGCCGTCACGTCTGCGTGCTTCCCTCAGTCCCCACACACGAGTGACTGTGCTCTGCGGGCCGCACTCACGCGCCGATGAGAGGGCTGAGGGGAGCAGCAACACGCAGATGACCCCGTGAAATATAAACGATGTGCGGACACACAGAGGGTCGGACGGCTGAAAGACATTTAAATATCTTTTAATTTTATTTTGCGGGCAAAATATATACGGACAGTTTGGTGTGGCCACACGGCAGCCGGCTGCTTTTTAAATTTTTGTGGAACAGTAATGGACGATTTCTTTTTATTTGTAATTATTTTGTGTGATGGGGTTTGTGTAAGACGAAGGGGAAAGTTTTTTTTTGTTTTGAATAAATACTGTGTGAATTGCCGCTGCTTGGACTGCGGTGCAATCGTGAGTTTGAGCGGTCTTCTTCTTGTTGCTTCCGCCACGCACCTCCGCTGTACATTTTGTGCGTCCCTCCACATACTCTGCTTCCTTTTCTCTGCTTCTTTGCTTTGTGTTTCTGCAGGCACACACACAAGATGCACATTGCAGTGGATTTGAATGCTTCTTTTGCAGTGCATGCTGGCAGTTGCGTGTGGCGGCTGTTGTCTTCCTCCGTGGCCATGAGGAGAAGGGAGGAGGGAGTGCGCAGCCCGCGTCACCTTTCCTGCGGGTGTGGAGCACCGCGTATGGGCAACAAAAGGAAGAAACACGTCACTCCTGACAGTGCGCGGCAGGCAACCGTTGGGGAAAAACACAGGAATGCTAATTATTCCAATAGGGCAAAGGCAGCAAAAATAAATAAATAAAAGAAAATAAAAAAGCTTAAATTATTGACAAAACTCAGTGGGTAATGCTGGCAAGCTGCACAGTTATTGCTCCACGAAAAGCCGCAGTTCCACCCTCCCTCACACCTCAGCAGAGTGCCGCAGTGTCTCACAGCCCCAGAAGCAGAAGCAACAACACGCGAGACAGACACCCATGCACGGTGATGTCACCAATTTCGGCCATGGTCAACAAATCCGTGAAATGTCCGTGCTCACAAAAACCGTTGCTCACAAGTGATGCTGCGTTGTGCTCCGATGGGATCTCTGGTTTCCCAGACGTTGTGCGCAAATAATCCTGTGCGGCATCACCGCCACACGACACGTTATCACTCGTTCAACATTTGCTAGGGCTGTGTTGGGCTCAGGCGTGGCTGTTGCACCATCCAAGGGCATTAGATCACTGTTGCTGAGTGAATCAGGGCCGCTGCCCGTGCCCACGGCGGTGCGGGCAGACGTGCCCTATTCATGGTCAACGTGTTATTAGTCGCTGGCAACTGTGTTGGCGGTGTACGGCTCGTTGCCTCTTGTTGAGCATGCGTCTGGATCCGCTGCGCTGCCACTTTACTCCCCGGACAGCCGCGCTCCCTGTGGGCCTCACCGCGCAGCTGCTGGCAGCCTTGCGTGCTCCTGCCGAGCGGAGTGTCCTGCCACTGAGCTTGGCCACAGACAGTTTTCAGTTCCCCGCCTGGCAGCAGCATCCCAATCGCCCACACGAATTCCTGCCGCCACAGACTCCCTCTCGGCGATGGAGTCACTCCGTCTTGGCTCGCTGGCGGCGCACGACGACGTCGCCGAGGAGATTTGTGTCGTGCCGCTTTCACTGGTGGATCGAGTTCGCACTGTTGGCTTCAAATGCTCACCATGACACTGCGGAATCCCACGCAACGTGACGGCGGACGCTGATGCCGTCATTGCACGATCCCTCCCGCAGGACTGCGTCAATGCCTGGCACGTGGGCCTCCTCACTGCAGTCAGGCGGCCGTACTGAAAGAAATTCCAGGAGGAAAAGGAGGGCGCGCACACCGCATGACGTGCGCTTCTCGGTGTGGCGGAACTCACTTCCTGGTGTTGACCCGGACATCGTGCTCGATCGGCGGATCTCCGCACAGGCGCGATGCGACTCCTGCCCGCTCTTCGACAGGCCCGCGCGCCCTGCGGATCACAAGGAACTCCCTGTGTCGGTGGTGCCGTCCCTTTCTTTACCGAGGAGACCGGCCCGCCTCTGCCTCCGCCGGAACCTCTTCCCGACGTGAGCACCGCAACATCTTGTCGACCAGCGAGCGGCGGATTGATGTCCTCCTGCCCAATCGGCTGCAGAGTGCGCCCGTTTGTCCGCAGCGTGACGGCACATTGTCCGACGTGCTCGGCCTGGCGTTATAATAGTCAGCGAGGCCTCACATGCGGATGCCGCAATGGTTTCATCGTCTTCTTGGCAGGCACCTCGCGCGCTGGTCGCCACCGAAGATCCAAGCATGCCAGTAGGCAAGGCACGCAGGAAGCACAAACGCGGACACTCGAGATGGACCCGGCTCTTCCGCCACCGCCTCACCACAGACGCCACGTGCTGCTGATCCCCGACGGACCACGGGAGACTCCGCCTCATCCACTTTGGTAATGTCCTGTCATTGAGAATATGGATTGTGACTGTTTGGGACTGCTCCAGCCTGCACGACGGCCTGTTTGCAACGGCATACTTGCCACTTTTGTACGGGGAGCCCTTGCGCTATTTACTCATTCCGGCGCGAGAAAAACAAGATAACAAGTTATTTTGTGATGGATATTGGCTGCACTTCCCGTGGACCAACAATCCACGTGGTGTGCGGGGATCTTCTTTTTTATTATTATTTTTACTTTGCTTTTGTGTTGCTGTGTGCGCTGCACCTCCTCTTGTGTGTGCGTATCCTCCGTGAGGGGTGCCGACACGACGGACCGCTCTCGCCGTGTGTGCATGCGGTGGAGCCTTGTGTGCCGCTCCTGTTTGCTTCTCCCTCTTCCATCTGTGTGTTGGTGTTGCGGCAGGGCTGTGTGTGTGTGCCTGCTGCCGTGGATTGGAGTGTGTGTCGTGCGTGGTGTGCGGCGTACGGGGCATGCCTGGCTGCTGCCCTCTCCTCATGTGGTGTGCCCTCTGTGTGTGTCTGCCGCACCTCTCGTCTCCCTGTTGCTCTCCATGCCCCTCACTGTGCAGATCAGCTCCACACCACTGAACGACCACACTCACGATGATGATGTGCCGTCTGCTGTGCGCCCTGTTGGTGCTCGCCCTGTGCTGCTGCCCGTCCGTGTGCGTGACAACAAGTGAAGGTGAAGCTGGTGAATCTGTTTCAAGGGTTGACGAGAAAGGGGAACTCGATGGGGCGACGGATCAGCAGAGTGCAACTTCTTCGCCACAAACAAGAGAGGAGGAGGAAGAGAAAGAGGAACAGAAATCAAGTACGTCGACTCATACGTCACAGGAAACGGCTAAAGCAACCGGAACGCCACAGTCAGAAAGTAATTCCAATAATACAAAGGATCAAGATCATGGGCAATCCACTAAGGAACAGACGGAAAATACGAACACTAACACGTCAAATGAACAACATAAGGAATCAAATGCACCAACCACGACCACCACAACTACAACAAAAGCACCAACCACAACCACTGCACCAGATACACCAAGTAATACAACTACAGAGGCGCCAACCACGACGACCACCCGCACACCGTCACGTCTTCGCGAAATTGACGGCAGCCTCAGCAGCTCTGCGTGGGTGTGTGCCCCGCTGCTGCTCGCCGTATCCGCGCTGGCGTGCACCACTCTGGGCTGAAGAGGTGTGTGTGGGCTGTGCGTGCCAGCACTCAACCACGGGGACATGTGTACGTCCACTGTGGTCCGATGTAAATAAATAAGATAAAATAATGATTGTGTTTTGCTTCATTTGCCTCCGCTGCGCTGCTGTGTGCTCCATGCTGTTGCCTCCGTATTTGTCACTTGGCACGCATCCCAGACACACTCATATGCATGACACGCACACGACTGTTTGCGTGGACGCATTTATGGGTTCTGGTGCATGCACACTGGAGCCATTCGTTGCAGCTCCTTTTGTTTTGTGTTTTTACTTTCTTTTTTTTATGTTGTTGTTTTGTTGCTACTTGTTTTTTTATGTGTTTATTTTTCTTGTTTTTTACTTCCTTCGGGGCGTTGTGAGTTTTTTTCATTTTTTAATGGTTTATTTTCTTTCATTTTTTCCTTTTTCTGTTTCCTAATCTTTTGCTCCCCACATCCCTTCTTTCTTTTGCTTTTGGGGGCAATCACGATGGAATTTCTTTTCCTTTTCTACTCTTCCCTCTTTAA